ATGTGTTATAGAATATCTTATTTCGATTACTATTTCGACTTTATATTTTAGTCCACTAGTTTTTGACAAATTAAAATAGGTTTATGTTTGACATATTAGTAAACAACGTTGACGGTTGAATTATTGTCCAAGTCATAATTGTTAAAATGGTTGTTCGCGAATTTAGCATCCGTTAAAGGAGTGATATGCTTCAAGTGTACTTTCTGAATATTAAAAGTGCAACCGTAATTCATCGTCAGTTTGTTAGCAAAGCGTCGAGCTCCTTCAAAACAGATATTTGCAAGGATATCAAAGAAATTTGCAGAAAACGGTTATGTATTAAACGCTAAAAAGGTAAGTAATCTTTTAAATGAAGAAAATAAGAGAAACATATTAGAAATGTATAAAGCACATCCCGTTTCCTCTCTTACTTGAGTATATGATGAGACAGCTATTTCTCGGGGACCAATCCAATCAGTTTTGAAAGAATATCAATACAATGCATTTAAATTTGGTAAAACCCAAAAACTAAGTGCAAAATAAGGTCAATGTAGCTTTGTTAGAATTTTTAAATAGAGGTAATGATAATAATAATTTTTTGAAAAACATTGTATGAACTGATGAAAGTTCTTTCACTACACGAAAGGGTTGTTGTAACAGAAAAAATACGCGATATTGGTCTTTAAATAATCCTAGACAAATACAGGAAACAAAAATCAATTAATTAATCGATTAATGTACGGTGTGGAGTGGGCATATTTTGGGTACGATATTTATAGATCAAAAGTTAACTGGTTAACTGGAGATCATTAAACCACAAATAGAACCCCTAAATATATCAGCGCTGATTATATAGCAGCAAGTCAGGGCTTGGATAGGGAACTTTGGATGGGCCCGCCAACAGCCCCGGGTTTTTTCTTTTGGGGACACATAAAAAATCACGTGCACAGAACTCCTTGTGATAATGTCGTGGAACTTCGTCAACAAATTTCAGTTAAGAGAGAATCCGGAAACTAGATGGAAGACATCATGCAATCAGAATGTATGAGAAATGTGTTCAGAAAAACGGTGGTCACATACAGCAATATTTAGAATAGTTAAAGAATTTTTTACTTTAGTGTCTTTTTTTGTTCTACCTTAATTAATTTAATAAAGGCATGTACCCTTTCTAAAGTTATATACTGTCTTCCATTATACTATCCATTCTTAACGCTGCTGATAAATTCAGATTACAAAAAATCCACAAAGTGTGATCGTATATCAGAAAAAATATTTGCGTTTTTATTCGCAAGTTTTGTATTTAAGGTTATGAAACCGACACACCTGAAACATCGTTTAGTGTATCGATATGAAATTCACAATGTTCCTCTAAGGATGAAAATGAATATGCCCCAACATAATTCTTGTAAATTTGATCGCTGCTTTAGCTATATTGCCATTAAGCTTTATAATAACTATAATAAATATTTTCAATCCAACTCAGTTCTAGTATTTAGGAAAGGTCTCTGTCCTAAACAAATTATTATTTTACCAATAATTAATTTTTAGACTCTTTTTATTATTATAGTTTGTTGTTTCATTATTATCGTAATATTCGGTTAATGTTGAGTAGCTGAGATCAAGGGCTATATTAGTTTGTATTAAGTAATTTTGTCTAAATCTTATTATTATTATTATTTAAACGCCTTGTAGCTTAAAGCAAAATTTTGCCTTATTTGGAAGTACGTAGGTTTACTGTTAACAACAAATATTTTTCAGTACAAAGGCATAATAGAAAAAAAGAAAAAGTTTACTCCATCTTTACAAGAAAACACTAGATGAAAACTTGTTCTGCGATTCTCCAATGAAAAATGTCTGTCTATTAAATTCTATCATTTACAGCATCAACAAGTTTATTACGTTGACTACACTGTTGCACTGCTTTGCATAGCCATAGACCATAGCATAGCATGTTCTGTATTAGAATATAAAAAAGGCTATAAAAAAGTTATGTTAAAGACACACGGAATGAATGATACTGATTGTCCCTAAAATAAAACCGGCCAAAACAAAAAGAAGCCCCCAATCCAATGTAACACCCTGGTCCTCTACAGTCGAGATTATTTTTTAGAAAATAAAATGGAGAGACATTTCTCGAGGTTGACCAAGAGTCTATTAAAGTTTGACAAACAAAACGAAATCTGCCACCGAGTGAACGATAAGGAGAATAGGTACTTGTGGAAAAATCCCTGGCAACTTCATATAGGAAAATGATAAACAAAAAGGGACTCAAATGCGACTCTTGAGCCACTTAATTATATCAGTATTTCTTGATTTTGCCCTATTTACCGTGTTTGCTCGCATAAATAACTTCCAGAAGACCTTTTACGTACGACGTCCGCGTTTTCGAGTGGTAAATTTCTATCTGTGATAAGTGCGAACGTTATTTATTGGTTTATGCAACGCGTATTCTGCATTGCAAATTTTGTACTTCTTTTCGTTATCGCCTGTTTTTAATTAGTTCGACACAATAAGCGGTGCATTTTCTGCGATTAGAAGCCCTTGAGCAACAAGTCATTCATAAATATGATATGTGGAAAATTTCAACCGCAACGCTTGGCAACATCGCGAATGATCGGTAAAATAACTATTAACGCTCGCTATTGTTACGTAGAGAGGAATTTTTAATGCTATAAACTCCCTATTTTCTCTCTCATGATATACATAGCTAATAATTTACACTGTATCGTGGTCTACGAGTCTGCCTTACTTCAGATTCTCTCATAATGTTCGTAAGTTTGATCATATTAGTGCGAGTCTTGAGAAATCACGCTGCTTAGACGAACAGTTTAAATCGTAGGTGTCAGTTTTAACCAAAGAATAATCTCTCGCCAAAGCCTCCATATTTTCAGTTCAGTTTAAACGCTACTTTAGCTATACTTTTATCAAAATTTACAATTAACTCTCCAAATGAACAACTTTTAAACAAAAGTTTAGGCAACACATTTTTCACAACTAATGCCATGATGTTAAACAATACAGCTAGGTGCTAGAGATATAGAGGCACTGCCTAATGGTGATAATCTAGGAACTTAAGAAGCACTTATGAAAAAAAATATGGAAAGATCCATTCGACATGCACATGCGCGAGATTTGAAATCTCGTTTTTAACCAATGACCTTGCGGCACAACCAACACAGCCGCTGACAAATCGTCAATAAGTTTGGATGTGGAATTTTTACGGCAATATAAAATTATATTATAACGAATAAAGGGTGTTTCTTATTACTCACTGTCTAATTATTGTTGTTTTAACGTAACCCGTCGTTAAACAAACCTACAACCTTTACAACCAAAAATTCTTTGTACGCAACTCTTTGGCTTGATTGGTATAGTATAGCACCTGTTAGAACTCCGCCGGCACCAAGAAACCGTAACTTAAACCCTTCGTGCTAACTTCTTCTAAAGACAAATCAATTGCTCAGCAAATATATTAATTTTTACTTTGGTCCATATCTGGATGAACTCCGTGGATTCATTGAACTTATAATATCAAATCTAGGCTAAACAATACATTCGGTCTGACGAGAAATGGCGCCTAGACGATTCTGTATGGTAATTTCGAATTCAGCATTTGGTGACACGTGGTCCCACTGCTGATTCTAGCTGAATGTTGACAGTTTATATCTCTGGAATGGTTTAACGCCTTCGGGTAAATTTACAATTGCTACCGTTCGCTTAAAATTATAATCAAAGTCTCACTTTACGGTCGCAGGTCTTGACAAAATAAAATGATCAGAAGTTTACGTCACGATCGCCATTTTAATTTTTTGGCCATGGGCGCGTGGTAATCCGCGTTTAAACGTTCCTAATCCCCGCACGATCGTTTGACTCACAAAATAAACAGGACCGGAAAGCTGTTCGAGCATGTCGTCAGGTGTAACCGTAAACAAAACCAGAAACAGGTTTTTCCTTATCGTAGGCTCTTAATTTTAAATTGTAAATAACGCTTATCGCAGTTACGATGTGATCGCGTCGTAAAATTTCGGGTTTACTTGGACCGTTCGGTTGGTAAAAGGCCAATTCTCGGAATCCGAACTCACCACGCATCCGCGAGGCAAGGAAAACGAGCGAATCGAAACTAACCCAAAAATTCCACACTGGGTGATGTTTCGGATAATAAGATTATGTAATACATGAAATAAATTTTAATAATATAAGACGCAATTAACAACAAAATAAAAAAAATACGGACAAAAATGTTTGCTTTCCGAATGAACGTTGTAGTCTTTGATGTTACGACCAACAGTAGGGCGTATATTTTTTTCGCTGGTGCATATTGATTACTGCTATTCGCTGCTCAAGGTGTCACGTCATATATAACAAAAGTTTAAGTTAAGGTTTATGCTAGACTGTGAAGCTATAAAGAAGATATGCATTTAAAATTAAGAGAAATACCTATTTTTTAAAACTTTCTTTTTTCTAACAATGTCCTTGTTTCTTCTCCCTTTTTTCTAATTGTTTAATTTTATCTTCTTTAATTTGATGTTCTACTACCTGTTTTCAGTTTGTTAATATTATTTTCATATTTCATATAAAATTAGATTACTCATTCAATTCATTCCCGATTATATTCCCCCATATTCTCACATAGTCTAAGAGACGTGGGCCTACGTCAATTTAGAATTAAAATTAATGTTGAAAAATAGTAACGATAGATTATTATACTCGTATTGGCGGGCATAGAAATAGAAGATGTTGCGATGTTTAGACGTTATGTAACACCTTTATCCACTTGTCTTCAATAGCGCCGCGAGATTTACTAACCAACCAAGAAACTTTCTTGAATTTTCATCCATGGGCCTCCGAGAGCTATGATATTGGCGTTTTAAAGTAAAGTTAGGTCATATCTATAAAAAAAGGTACTTTCGATCTCCGAAAAGTGTTATCGTTATCACATTCTGCTTGTCGATTATCTACATTGTGATTTTTGCTTGTTTGCAATGCCATGTTCTTCGGAAACTTTTCAAATACTTTCTCAATGGGGAATAGCGCGTAATTTCGTTTAATATACTGGTGTTGCTTTTGACATCCGATACTGACAGAAATTAGGACCGCGGGTAAGCGGCATCTGAGATCAATGAGGCCAAAAAGAATTGTAGCTTCGAAATTATATATTTCAGCACCCCGCGCACTGCACCTGATCTCTATATCATCCGTCAACGCGCACAAAAATGCGACAGAAGGCTCAAAATGGTCGCCACGTGGCAAACACGAGTCAACCAATATCGTTAGATCATCCCGGGTGAGTTAGCAATATCGTCCACTTGAAATTTTAGATATGTATTATGTCCGTGTCGTCAAAATAAGACTGTTATTTGAGAATTTTGTTTTGTGGCCACTAAATAAACAAAACCAAACGAATTTCTGATGGGAGTATATGACAATACTAAATTTAATACCACGGACATTGGGTACTCTGCCAACCACTTATTTTATTATCAATCATATCTAAATAGATATCACGAGTACTTTCACCAAGATTTTATTTTATTTTATTAATATTGAGTTATGATTTTACGTTTATATAAAAGCGTTTTGATAAAGGCTGTGTTGTCAGATGTAATATATCCTATGCATTGAAATATCCTCACAATAATAAAGAACTGTGAAATCAGTATATGCGTTAAATCGTAAAACCAAATAAAATGACTTTTGTTTATACAAATACATTTTTCGAAATATCAAAATTTTTATATATTGTCAATATACTGAAATAAGTAAACAACATGATCAAACCCTGTATTATATCGCTAAAAGATTTATTAATGTATATACTAGTATTTTTAGCAACTTATACGCCACTACTTGTACTTGACCCAAATTGATTTAAGAGATTTTATAGAGAACGCGATTTTACAACCTATTGCAAGATAACTGTAGGAATATTTAAAATAATTTGGTGTTGATTATATCTGGAAATGCTGCATCGTTGCAGGCATGGCCGCAAATCAAAAACAGAAAATTTTAAATTGTTCATTCTCGTTGGAAATGTTATAGCTAAAGACATTTCAAAACCGAATTATGTTTGTACTAGTATTCCCTATATAATAAATAAACTAAGGATACGACCAAAATGACCAAAATATATATAGCGAGGTGTGTTTACTAGAGGTAAATTGGTGGCAAACCAGCGACGAGATGACGGTAGAAGATCAATGTGGAGACGGTTTACCGTTATAGACTCGCAGTGGCGTGCGCCAGCCGAGATAATCGACAATGCCGTGGTCAATCATTAGACCGGACCTAAAAGCGATAAATTCTCTCGAAGAGTTAGAAACAATGGAGTCCTTTTAGACGTGCAGAAATGATTTTTAAACTGTCGCCTAATAAACATATGTCCCTGCAAACTATTCCTCGGGTTCTTAGATAAGCCTTTGAACCTAATTTTCGATGTTTTGACGCATGATCACTGATCTAACTTTTACACCAATTAAATTTTCATAGAAAACATTTAATTCGGCTTTAGTTTTGAGCAAAAACATTTCAAATTTTACCCTAAATATTCGGAAATGTTTCAAATTTTTCAGTTAAATTTTGATTCAGATAGTTTGGAGTTTTCTTCACAATCGTTTCATTTGAAGAGAAACTTAAGCAGATCTATGACAATTATTTAACAGATATTGTTTTGAGTACATGAAGAAATTTGTTGCCTTTACGGTTACTATCATAAATGCAACTAGTTAGCTGTTTTGGTTGGTCTGCGGTGAATAATCATCTCAATACACTTAACCAGGTGAAACGTGGTGATAATAAAGCCCCTGGAGGTCCAAGCAACCTCTTTTATTCACTCATCATGCATTTTAGGGTTGTAACCTAAAGTTTGAAACTAGTGATTACCTGTTGCAAGTCTCATAACTCAAGCTTCTCTCCTATTGCTCAATTTATTACTCAGAAATACACATTATTACTTTTGTGCAATTTTTCAACGATAAGGATTGAATATTACGATGAGCTCTATAGTTAAAAAAGACAAGCCATACACGAATCTATGAGCTTTCTACACACGGTCTTCGACTGACGTGCGCAGTAAAACTAGTGGTAGATCGGCCAGAGGCTAATCGCTGGTTTTTTCAGGATCCATCTTTTTGACTGTGCACTAAGCTGCCGAACACAATTTCCAAGTTCTCGGTTATAATTTTTCACGTTCTCCAACTATATTACGGGGAAGAACATAAAATCCGATATAACGTTAACGTCGTCTACGCCCATATAATACGTCTTTAACCGCCAAAGTAATAAACCGCTAAACGTTGCCAACGTTATTTTCGGATCTGTGATGCGGAATAACCTATGGAAAAGTTTCACCCGCGAGATTGTGTTAAACAGAAGCCGCGCTACGCAAGTATATGGCGTGGCGTCGTAAACACTCCTCGGCAGGTTTCGGTTATTTTTGATGTTACACCGACGAAATTTTCGCACGAACCGGGTCGATTTCGAGAATCGCGGATTCGAAAAGAGCGGGAAAACTTTGCGATTTGGGAACTATCGAAAACTTCACCTCCAGAATATCCCTGGGATCTCATATAATCTCTCTTTAAAAAGCAGGGAGTACCATAGCTGCTTATTTATTTATTTAAAGAAGTCTACCTAGCAGGCATGACGCCCCACAACAGGTAGGTTGTTGTTGAAGTGTTAAACAGTTACAAAAGCATTGCAAGTAATGAAGATATGATGAAACATAACCTAAAGTCTTGCCTAACTTAACTCTAATAGAGAAGCAAGAGAATGGGAAAAGACTGAAATTAATATTTATAGTTTAAAACACCAAATTATATTTTCCAGAATAATAAATAACTAAGTTTTACCTATTGCTGGATACTCTCATAAAATTATTTTTCTACTCCCGTCTGTAAAATACCTAATTACCCACCGATCTAGCGTGCGGGAAGCGTCACTTTACCACGTCAGTTTCGTTTCCCACGAATCCGAGCCACTTCGGACATTTCCGGGATTTTACCGCACGGATTTGGGAACAATCGGATGTTTTCGGAGATATTTCCCACGCTTTGAATTTTGACGTTTGTCAATTCTGACGGTCACGTCAGTGAATGTATTCGTGTTGTTTTGCGAAAATGTACCCAAAAAGTAACGGTCGTAGAAAAAGTATAGTATGCAACACGTTCGGTAAACTTTTTAACTCACTCGTTTATTAAAAATTCGCTCCGCTGCGCTCCGCTCGTGTCAAATAAACTCGTGAGTTAAATGCCGTTCACCGCACTTGTTGCATAATACACTATTATCCAATAGTTTGCTTTCACGTAAAGCGCTTTTCACTTTGCCAATGTCCTCTATTAAAAACGATGTTCTGTCAATTTTAATATTTTGCCTGGAAGTATTTCTGCTCTTGGATAGAAATCCACTTTGTAGATTACAGTGAGAACTCTGTCCCATACAGCTAGATGCATCCACATTATGACTATGCAGTAGCAGCTCACTTTACGAATTATAACACAGTATCACCGTTTCTTCTTCTTTATGTGTCGTGTCCTCCTAGCAGGTTGGCTGTCATCATGGAAATTCTGGCTTTTGGTGCGGCTACTAGAAATAATTCTATTGACGTACAGCAATATCTTCTTCGGCGTCTTCTTCTCACACTTCTTTTGCCTTTTATTTTCCTTGGTATTATTAATTGTTGCATGTGGTACCTTTCTCCGTACATAACGTGAACTAGTTAAGCAAGGTTGATTGTTTTTTACAGTATCCACTATCTTTGTTTCTTTTTACATTCGCTGGTACTTTTTCTACCAAAGAAACTCTAAGTATTCGTCTATATACTCACACTTCGAAAGTTTGGTGGATTGATAGAATATAAAACACCTAGTCAATCTGATCTTAATCTGATGTATATATATTCCTTATTCTCAATCTCATTTAAGGCGAATGTCCTCCAGTCTCGTTCAACATGGTACCCACATGGTACCCAGTTAATGTGCATTCTTTTTACTGTTATAATACTGTTTTTCTTCTCTTGAGACTATCGATTGTAAATTTAATTTCAATTTCATGTAATTGGGTTGCAATATGTAAGTAGCCTGTGTTTGTTAATTTGCAATTCTCTCTTATAATAAATGATTGATTAATTATTATAGGGGCTGCCGTTCACATAGATTTATTAAAGTATATATATGCATTTATTAGTTCTTCTAAATAATTAAATATGCAATGCCATTGTGGGATAGTAAAAAAAAAAAACTAATTATCCAAAATTGAACACACAAAATATTACCTGGGGACAAAGTTAAGGAATACATTTAAAAATACGTATACTGAAGATCAAATCTTACTCTATATTTTTAACCGAGTTTAAGAGTTGGCGCTTTCAATATCAGACCCGACATTCATTGACACTGACATTGAGCCTTTCCTTGTAAAGTAAATATTGTTCCAGAGTCTTTCCAACTTCCTCAAAACACTACTCCGTGAGAGATAGTAGATTGTATAACACCAAAATACTCTCTGACGTTAAAAAATTGGCTATACTACCGTGGAATTTGTCTAAATTTTTGAATTCTATCTACAAGGTCACAAGCCTACAGGTTCTACTATAATGCATATCTTAATAAGTTACGGAATAAACTGACATATATCGAAATCTTCCGTTCCACACCCAGTTGAATTCCATAGACGATTTGATGTCACTTTAACAAAGTGGTTTCCATCATAACGGTCAAAATGTTAAAAATACATTCCGATACAGTATATTGATCTATTGCGTGTATGATTTATATGGAATGATAATAAGAGTTCAATGTAACGTCGTCTTAATTTAACAGTTAATTTCTTACTTTTTACCGTATTGAGAAACGCATAATTAAAATAATTTATCGATAATGTAGCGCACAAACAAAGGTTCGACAGAAGCTACGGAAATTTTATCGATTCTCTTGCTATTCCGCGCGCTTGATTAATTGTTTAATCGTTAACGTTTAAACAAATAAGCGATAAGGCTTTGTAGGGTTAATCCTCTTCGTCATCTTTACTATACGAGTCAGACGATACTCTATATTCGTCATGAGTTTTGCTAAATCCTTCAATTACTGCAATTTGAGGAAACACAAATTTTTACATGTAGTTGGTTAACTATTTCCCGAAGTTTTTCCATTACAGTCGCCGCAAAACTAATTTAAGGAGGTTATTGTTCCGAAACTTTTAGAGGGATGATGGCAAGTTCATATCATATTATTTCGAATATGTTCTTACCGAAAGAAGTATTTCTCCATCCCTTGTTTTTCTAATCGTCAA